CTCAGCGTTCAACACCATAGTGCCCTCAAAGCTCATCACTAAGCTAAGGATCCTGGGACTAAACACCTCCCTCTGCAACTGGATCCTGGACTACCTGACGGGCCGCCTCCAGATGGTAAGGGTAGGTAACAACACATCTGCCACGCTGATCCTCAACACAGGGGCCCCTCAGGGGTGCGTGCTCAGTCCCCTCCTGTACTCCCTGTTCACCCATGACTGCATGGCCAGGCACGACTCCAACACCATCATTAAGTTTGCCGACGACACAACAGTGGTAGGCCTGATCACTGACAACGATGAGACAGCCTATAGGGAGGAGGTCCGAGACATGGCCGTGTGGTGCCAGGATAACAACAACCTCTCCCTCAACGTGATCAAGACAAAAGAGATGATTGTGGACTACAGGAAAAAGAAGAGGACTGAGCACGCCCCCATTCTCATCGACGGGGCTGTAGTGGAACAGATTGAGAGCTTCAAGTTCCTTGGTGTCCACATCACCAACAAACTATCATGGTCCAAACACACCAAGACAGTCGTGAAGAGGGCACAACAAAGCCTATTCCCCCTCAGGAGACTGAAAAGATTTGGCATGGGTCCTCAGATCCTCAAAAAGTTATACAGCTGCATCATCGAGAGCATCCTGACTGGTTGCATCACCGCCTGGTATGGCAACTGCTCGGCCTCCGACCGCAAGGCACTACAGAGGGTAGTGCGTACGGCCCAGTACATTATTGGGGCCAAGCTTCCTGCCATCCAGGACCTCTATAGCAGGCGGTGTCAGAGGAAGGCCCTCAAAATTGTCAAAGACTCCAGCCACCCTAGTCATAGACTGTTCTCTCTACTACCGCACGGCAAGCGGTACCGGAGCGCCAAGTCTAGGTCCAAAAGGCTTCTCAACAGCTTCTACCCCCAAGCCATAAGACTCCTGAACAGCTAAACATGGCTACCCAGACTATTTGCACCCCCACCCCATCTTTTTACGCTGCTGCTACTCTGTTAATCATTTATGCATAGTCACTTTAACTCTACCCACATGTACATATTACCTCAACTACCTGAACTAGCCGGTGCCCCCGCACATTGACTCTGCACCGGTACCCCCCTGTATATAGCCTCCCTACTGTTATTTTATTTCACTTCTGCTCTTTTTTTCAACACTTTTTTGTTGTTGTTGTTTTATTTTACTTTTTTATTAAGAAATAAATGCATTGTTGGTTAAGGGCTGTAATTAAGCATTTCACGGTAATGTCTACACCTGTTGTATTCGGCGCATGTGGCAAATAAAATTTGATTTGATTTGATGATAAACTCCACATTCGGGTTTGAGCCATGTTTCCTGCACACAAATCACATCAGGCTTAGCTATCATATCAACAATGAACTGCTTGAATTCCTGCCCATTAGCCAACAGGCTTCGAGCATTCCATTGTAGTACTACTACCATAACTAAGATCCAGTAATACATGACTCCACCATCGGCTGATTGAGGTCATCTCGAACCTCTTCCCATGTCAACCCTGTCATACTCAAATGTCTCCCAGCAGCTTTCACTATTAGTTTAATCCTCTCCGTTTTAGACTCTACTTTATCAGTGCTATTGATAGCTCCTGCTATGAACGTCACCAGCTTTCTCTTTTCTATGAATACCATATCGCTGCCCACCTGCCCCATAATCCCCCGTCTAGATGCTCCTACCCATCTCTCCCTTGAACCTGTATCTCCCTGGACCTGGACCACCCTCGCTGCCTCAGCATATGACACCCTTCTCTCTGCTCTCACTTGTTGCACCTCCACTGCCTTCTTCATAGCCTCACACCCACTATATGCCACACTATGAGCACCCCCACAGCTGCAGCACTTTGGTTGTACACCATCTCCACACTTCCCATACTCATGCTCTCCTCCACACCTGGCACACCTCTTTTTCTCTTTACAGACTGTTGCCACATGCCCAAACCTATGGCATTTATAACATCTTAAAGGCTTCGGTACCCTCACATAATAACTCATATATCCTATTGTTACCTTTGCACATTCACTAGAACGCCTCCTCTCAAAATGTCCCTTACCTCTTTAGTGCTAACACTCACAGGCACTCCTGTTATCACCCCTTTACTCCACTGCTTCCCTGCTTGATCAGTCCAGCTGCTCGACTCCACCTTACACTTCCCTATTTGCTTCACCCCGATAGCTTCTTCCCTCTGCACCATGTCCTTACAGCACACGAACAATCTTAACACTTTAGCATTAACAACTTCCCCAATCAACTCTTTTATCACAGCCGTCAACTCCCCCTTCCTCCCTAAACTTCATAATCACTTTATGCTCCTCCATGTTCCTCTCGTGTCTTATCTTGCCCTTCCTCTGCACTTTCTACCTCCGAACTTCCGCTAGCGTTGGAAGCTAGGTTGCTCTCCTCAAACGTCCTTTTCTTCCTCCTCTCTACCTCCGTAGACCTCTCGCTCCCCTTCATACCCCTACTCCCTTTCTCTCCCGCTTTCTTTTTCTTTCTTACTCCCTCCTTTATTTGTACCACTATGTTCCATACTTGCTTCACTTTCCTCTCCATCACTATCACCTACCATCTCTGACCCATTTTTTAACTAGGCAAGTCAGTTAAGAACAAATTCTTATCTACAATGACGGCCTACACTGGCCAAACCCGGACGACGCTGGGCCAATTGTGCGCCGCCCTATGGGACTCCCAATCACGGCCGGTTGTGATACAGCCTGGAATCGAACCAGGTAGTGACGCCTCAAGCGCTGAGATGCAGTGCCTTAGGCCACTCCGGAGCCCATTCACAGCACGCCCTCCGCCACACCGAGTAAAGTTTGTTTGTTTTTCAACGATTTCAAAAATCCCTGTCTGTTCGTCGACAAGCAGATCACGCCCGCGCCGTGTCCGACCTTAGAACCCGATCGGCTCCTCCCTAGCTTTACTCTGACTGGGCAGTTTTTCGAAGTATAAAATTCCCAGGCTCGTCGTTAACCATGGCCAAGTCCCTCTTCAGAGAGTGCGCTTGCGCAATGAGGTGTGGGAATTTCCAGCAGTAGGACGGAAAAGGTAAGGTGTTGAATGTTCGTGGCGTCTTTAGGATAAAAAAGGTTTTATAATAGCAGAAACATGAATGTGCACACCTCGCTTCTAACTCTACTCTCTGGACATAAGTGGAAATTGTTAAATACAAGCTTCTAGTGCGATGGAAAGCGAGCGAGTTAGCTTCGCAGAGATGGGCGTTCTGCCCTGGGCCAATGCAGTCACAGACCGACACAGCTGCTAGCTAGCTACTGTGGCTAACCTACATTAGCATCACGGCTTGCTAGTTCTTGCTTGTAAACGCAAGTTATACTGCGTACTCAGCTGATCACTGTGGTTAACGTTGATGTGTGGATTTATTGTTCAATTCGATGTAGAAAGAGCTTTTTAATGGTTGTGGTTAGCTGGTGGGAACAGCGCATGTTAGCTAACCCAGCTAGTTATGTATTTTCAAATGTTAGCTAGCTACTACTAGCTAGCTAACTATCGTGCTAAGCGGAATACTAAAACAGCCCTTGCGCCGTTGGTCCTTACGTCAAGATCGTCAAATAGCCAGAGCTGCCACACATGGTGATTATTGCATAGTTGGCTAACTTAGCTTGTTCCAATTAGCTAATATTCGTTTGAGTCGTGTTTGTTAGCCAACCGTGCTCTCTAGCCAGCTAGCTCGAGAATGTCCCAACTAGCTAGCTACATGTCTAACGTTACCACACCCGGCGCAGTAGCAGTGATTTACTGATTCCATTTTCCACGAAAATATAGCAATCGCTTATGCTTTCCGATTTAGAAATCGTTGCATGTAAATTTAGCTAGCTAACTTTAGAGCGACCTGAAGGAATTGGCTAGATTGCTGAACAGCCTATTTGCAGCGCCATAGCTAGTCGAACGTTAGCTACATTTACGCAAACCCGAATGTCAAGAATATTGCTGTGAAATGCAGATTTGCGATGCATGCATAAAAATGGCATTTTGGGTCAGAGTTAACGTTGGTCATAATTAATTAAGCAGCATACCATGTACATGTAGCCATATGTTAGTGTTTTATTTGAACATTCATGCGAAGTGGATGCGAGTGCAGTTGCTGGCTAAATGGTTATGAAGTGTACTGAGGGTAAAAACATCCTTGCTCCGATACATCCTACACTGCACGTTTACAGTGTCAGTAGCAGAGTGGGTGTGTGGCACTCGCAAGTCTAGGCTACATATTCCCTTTCCCCCTCACACACACAGGTTAGTCAGATAATGCACTCCCTCCCTGTGCTCTCCAACCCATTTGTTTCAATGGGCCATTTTGCATGTCTGGAACATTTTGGCTGCTGCTGCTTCTGAGTCACCTGATGATGTCAGCATTGCATTCTCTTTGCAGGCTGGATGAGTCTAGAGAAAGAGAGGATGTGTCCCAAGCTCGATATATCATCCTCATTGGCACAGTGAAGTGTCATGTGCGCAAGTGTGTGTGTTCATTATCCAACAGCATATCCCTCTTTGTCGTTGCAGCTTGGAGTTGGATCAGAAAAGGCCCAGCATCATGATTGTGCCCCTCTCTGCCCAGTGACCTTGAACTCACCTCCGGGCACTTCTCAGGACCACCAAATTGTCAACCACCAGCCCCCTCTGGCCTCATCTCATTCCCCACATTTTCCCTGGAGAGCCCACATGGACTGACAGCTAAAATAAATAACCAGAGATGCCCAAAAGCAGATGGTGGGCCTACAGGCAAGAGCCTAACCACCCCAACCAGGAAGCAGTTAAATTCAAATCCTACCAATCCCCTCTCATCTAAAGCATAGTGAGGGCTTCCTGATTGAGCTCAGAGGTGCATTTTTCAAAATCCTCTGTGGAGTGTATTTGTGTCTGTCCTGAGATGTCAGCAGAGAGGGGCTGCTGAAAGTGTCATCCTGGGCATGAGAGAGGGAGTGAGGAAGGGGTGTCACGGCTGAAGCAGTCTACTGCCGCGCCGCCAATGGATGCCAAACTGCAAGAGGACCTGTTCCGGAGGTACGTGGCGTGCCTGGAGAGGCGGCTGGAGGACGGTGGGGGGAATGCGGTCCCTGGGGGAGGCACCTCGGAGTGGGGCAGCGAGGCCCTACTCTCCACAGCCACAGCCCTGCTGGGGGCCTACCAACCAGACCCGGGCCAGAGGTTCCGCATGGTGCGCTTCTATGAGGTGGTGGAGAACGCCATTCGCTGCCTGAGAGGCTGCAGTCTGCGGTGCCTGGAGAGAGCCTTCCTCACCCTGGAGACTGTTTGCACCAACCTGCTGCTCTTCCCCTGGAAGAAAGAGTTCCGCTGCATCAAGGTACAGTACCCGTCATCTAAAGATACTGGACTGAATGTGTTCCTGTCATCAGGCTTTGTGCAGGTGGCAGGATTGTTGTAGTATATTAATATGGTCCCTGAGGTTAAACATAGTATGCATTACAATTAATTTGCAGGAATGCTCCGTAACTCTCTGTCCTCCTTATCCCCCCTTGTAGACCTTCACAGGCCCGTACGTCTACCTTCTCCAGTCTGCCGTGTGCGATGCTGATCTCCGCTCCCTCCTGCGTTCTATGGGCTACTCCCGTGACCATGAGCTCCAGTTCCACGTCCGGGACCACGCTTGTGGCCCGGCCCACCTCCGACAGCTAGCCTTTGAGCTCTTCCTGGCCCAGGCCGAGTGTCGTCTCCTGGGGGAGGTGGTGACTCTGGCCCGGGGCTCAGCCTCTGAGCTGGAAGCCCTGGAGCAACGGAGGGGCTGCCGGGATGACGCGGCCGGCTGTGCTGAGGTCCTCCGACGGCGAGACAGCCTCGGGGCCGACATGACCCGCCTCTCGGTGCGACCGATGGCCATACCTCACCATCTGAGGAGAGGGGGAAGGCCGTCCAAGTCAGTGGATGTTACGGATGGAGCTGGGAATTGGCACGCGGCCTCTAAGCCTGTCCTGAAAGCCTCTCTGAGCCTGAGGAAGGAGCCGCTGTTTGTGGACGTGGAAGAGGACATGAAGGATGAGATCATCAGGCCCAGCACATCCATGTTCTCTGTGGCTGACCCACCTTCCTACAACCCTGTGGCTGACTTCTTCCCTATCCAATCACCTCCTTCGGTCGACGCTTACTCCTCCTACCACCTCTCCTCATTGGATGAGATTGATCTGTACACAGAGAGGGGTGGGCCTAGGGTCGGAGGTCGACAGACACCTTCCAGACCTCCATCCAGGGAGCCCCGGGATGCCAGGGACAGCTGGGCACTCAAAACCCACATTGGACTCACCTCTCCGGGGGTGAAGTGTCAGGGTTGTGGCCTGGGCTGCTCCAGTCTGACCTCCTGCCCCAGGTGTGAAATGATCCTGTGCCAGGCCTGTCACGACATCGACCCCTCCCCCTGTTGCGGCCTGCAGGACTACCCCAACCCCAAATCACCCCGCCCCGTGGACGGCTACCTCCCCATCAAGGAGAAGCTGTCAGTCTACTCCAACACCCACTCCCCACACCCCCACATTCACCCCCTCACTCCCCCTCACCCCCAGATGGTGGAGAAACCCCTCGTGACCACTAAAATGTTTCCCTGCAAGTCGGTTGCCATGGCGTCGGCCATGGTAGCCAATAGCGACCGAGCAAGCCTGGGGGGGTCGAGGTGCGGGTTCTGTAACAAGCCGGGCGCGTCACACACCTGCGTGAACTGCTCCAAGGTGTCATGTGACACGTGCATGAGCCTGTACGCTAAAGACGTGTGCACCCGTAAAAAACCCCAGCACAGCTTTGTCCCCAACCATCAGCTCAACTTTAAGTCTGGAACTGTATCACATCTGGTCTACCGATGAGCCAGGAACAACAGGGAGTGGACTCTCTCTTTTCACTCCTCTCTCTCTATCATTTCTATTTACCTCTCTTACCTGCTCCTGTTCTCTCTTCCTCCTCTCATTACTTTCTCACCCTTCCCTTGAACTCTCCCCCACTCTCTCTTCCCTCCCTCTATCAATTGTATGGCTCTGGAATACACATGATCATAGGGAGTCGTATCTCCTGCCTCAGTCTCTCTGCCTTGTAAAAGATCAGGCTTTTTTAACTGCTTCCTCTTCTTCCTTACCTCACCACCCCGCTTTAGCTTAGTCACGTGACGTCGTAGTGCTTCCTAACCCCTCAAATCTAGTCCTCGAAGTGAAACGGGGAAAAAGCCAGAGCCATCCGGCTCGTAGGAAAACAAAACACAAATGCTGACTTAACTTCTCAGCTGTGGACACTCCCTGGTAGATGTGTTATAGACTTCTGGAATTGGATTATGTTCACTGAGGACCCTTTTTAAACTTGAAAAACCAATGGGGAAAAAAACAAGAACAGTAAGCGTACACTGGAATTCAATAGTATATATTTTCAATGGTTATTCATTCTGTAGTTCAATGTGATACTGTTGGGTGGGGCTGGGGTGAACGTTTGGGGGAGGGGGTGGTTTAAAGGGATATTTTGAGAGACAATGGTTGGCTGCCATAAGTCTATTTAAAGAACAATGTTTAAAGTGTATGGCCGAGGTTTACATGTTGCTGTTGAAATTTTGTTTGATTGATTGACTCCTTACTGGTAGATAACCTATTCTTGTATCAGTTTCTCTAAATCTGTTACTCTGTCTATCCATATCACTTCCATATTCACAACACACCTAACTCCTCAAGCTCAAAGTGCTACTTCGCTGATAAGTCGCACAGTTTCTATTGGAGATGGCTGTTGTTTGGAAAGCCAATAACCTGTAAAGCACCCTGGGAAATGAAGTCTTAAGCCGGTGACAGTCCCGGAACTATAACAAAACTTCACCCAATCACTCCAGCAGTACAGGCATTACCAAGGTCTTTGCTACACTGGCACTTAGACACTCAAGGTTGAAGTTTCCTTTCTAGGACCAGCTTACCCTTAAATTCCCAGGTGGAAAATCTCCAAACTGACCTTAGATCTGTGTTTGGAGACAACATCTTCCTACTCCCATTTAGACAGCATGTATAACCTGACACAGTTCAGTCTGTCTACCTCATGGTCAAGAGGGAGCTGCAGCTCATATTGAACAGGTGTTATTTTAACTCCACTAAACATACTCTTGGGCAAACGTCATGACACTTCACACTGAAATCCCTATATGGTGAGTGATGTCACAAGTGTTTGCGGAGTACACAGGACTGTCAATTCAGTCAAGTGGAAGCTTCAGCTCTCCCTCTGAGATATCAGTTTAATAAAGAGATGTGTTGATAAGGTTATAGATTTGAAAAGGACACAACACAGGACAAAAAGGGAAGGGTTTGTTTCTGACTGATGAACCCAACTGGCCATTGCTGCCTTAGGCGATATTATACTGTCAACAATACCTCCAGATAGAGAAGGGTGATTTTTATCAGCATCTTTTAACTATTCTAAATCAATCTCTAGACCTAGGCACTTAGCCTGCTCTCAGATCGGTATGTGCTTTAGAGAAGTCCAATGAATATCATTGTCATGCCATACACACAACGGAACTCAGAGAAGTTGGCTAAAGGACTTTGAGAACTAGGAACAGGCTACTAGGCAGTTATTGTAGATGTGAAAGGGTCTGGATAGGTAGTCTATTTTGGATATAGCTCAACTATCATCTCTGAAGGGAATGTGCAGTTCAGAATGTGCCATAAGTACATAGTTGGTAGGGACCAGGGAGTGATTTGTAATTGAGCACCATATTAGGTCTGTCATTCACCTCTAACATCCCCTCATTTTAGAACAAGTAATAAGTGTAAGCAATATGGTGGACATAAGGAATTCCATCAAATTGCTCACTTCTTCAAGAGAAGCAACTCAACGGATCCCCAATGGAGTCCGTTTTAATAAGGCCAACTGAAATCTCAAATTAAGCCTTGTTCAAAAACTGTTAAAATACATCCTTTTCTCATTGGCTTAATTGCTGAAGTGACTTGGTGAAAGCTAAGTAGAGGAATGCTTATTTTTCCCAATTGCATTAGATTTGTTTTTACCTCAAGGAAGGATGCATCTCAAATGTTTTTGTTGTTGCTGCCGATAGGTTGAAATGTCTTTCCGCAGTGGCCTTAGGGAGCAGTGCAATTCACCTTTGACCTCTTTCTCCTCCATCTAGTGATGTTTCCTAAAGGGCCAAGGAGAGAATGGGTATGTCCCAATACTAATTTGTGGGCTCCTTTCCAAGAGCTCTCACCAGGGCCCGTATCTACAAAGCATCTCAGAGTAGGAGTGCTGATCTAGAATCAGTTAAGCTTTTTAAATCAAAATGAGTAATATTATAGAGACAGATGCTAGATTATCAGTCCTACTCTGAGACCCTTTGTGGATATGGGCCCCAGGCTCTGAGAGGACCAGGTGGGTTGATCTCCATTTGGCTCTCACCTCCCAGTGTGTTTGTCAAACAGACAGATTCTGTTCAGAGTATCACATATTTACAATGCCTGCAAACATGTTAAACATCTCAGGAGCCAATATGAGACAATTAAAATCTCTAAAGAATCTGTAGTGAATATGCATAACAGAAACACTGTTGTCCTCACGGAATAGGGTGCCATTTGTTAGGCCACCATTTGTATTTATTTTTCCACAAACTTCCTATGTGACAGAGAAATCAATCATCCCTTGTCCCTCTTCTCGCTCTATGGTTCTCACCAGTATGAAAAGTGGTGGTGTTGTCTGTATAGCCCCCACACACACCGAGGAGAATTGCACAAGGGGCTTCTTCCACATTGCAGCCGACAGTACAGGCGACTGATTCATCTACTAAAACCCTTGCATCATAAATAACTACTCATTATTATTTGTAGATCAGTCAGTCACAATTTACCCATGATACAGTATGTTTTTGATCCTCTCGAACACTGTAATGTCTGTGTTGAGTGGTTCAAATTCCACCAGTGGAGGCTGGTGGGAGGAGCTATAGGACGGGCTCATTGTAATGGCTGGAATGGAATAAATGGAAAATATATGGAAACCACAGTGACTCCGTTACAATTGTTCCATTCCAGCCATTACAATGAGCCCGTCCTCCTATAGCCCCTCCCACCAGTTTCCTGAACCCCACTATCACTACAGGCCATACAAGGGGGAGGGGAAGGGAAAATAGCCTAAATTGTTAGTTGATGAAAGTATATATAAATCTCTCTCTCATATATATATATATGAAAACGTCAATGAATAAATTAGATTTTATAAAATAATTTCAAGAATAAAATAAAAAACCTGTGTTTTGTGTCCTTTTTGTTCATAGTGCACTGCGAAGTAACATCTCACTGCCTAGGGAGATCGCAGGAATATTAAAACACCAGTTTTCATTGCAAAACGTTTTGCACCTGTTTCCGCTAATGAATACACCCCAGTTGGTAATGTTCCTACCTGGATTGGGTCATACCAACTCACTTAGCCAGAGAAGTGACGTTGGCCGTGTTTGAGATCATCAAAACGACTGCAGGCGACAGCCGACTGACTGATCTACAAATACTGACTGACAGATTTACCCAACACTTTGCGGTTTTGATCCTCTCGAAGACGGCCATTAAGTTTGAAACTATGAGCGATTTCTGAAGTGAGTAGGCCTAATACACTCAATACTTTTAATGACTGCAAAATGCAGAATAATTAGTGGACCTTGTAAACTAAATCTTGTATAGTCTCATCAACGAAGTGCTTGTCTGAGAGGAAATATTAATATGATGGTGAAAATGAAATCAAACATAGGAACGTAAAGCTGCACTAGCTTGGGCAGTCGCTAGCAGTGTTGCCAACTTAGCGACTTTGTTGCTATATTTAGCGAGTATTCAGACCCCTCTAGCGACACATTTTCAAAAAAGCAACTAGCGACTTTTTCAGGTGTTTTTGGAGACTGACGTGAAAGCACGTATTGTTCTTACTCTTCTCAGCGAGCAGCGGGGGCTGCCATGGGCCCCACCCCCGTCCCAAAGCACTCACAGGTGGCCCAGTCCTCGCGCAGCAGTCCCTCCCAGCTGCAGTCAGAGCAGGAGATGTTCACCCCTCCGCGTCCAGACTGCAAATGAATCGCGCATTCAGGGCGGGATGTAAATGTATTTTTTTAAAGAATAGACAGAAGAAAGTTCATTTTTAGTTCTAAACATATTTAGGGTGTTTTTTACTCACTTTTTGTCTCGCCCAAGACGTTATTCCTCTCCTACAGCGTCCATCACAATTACATGCACATGGCCAATTAGGCATATTAGGCGATGACGTCATTTAGCGACTTCTAGCGACTTTTAGGACAGTCAATAGCTACTTTCCTTACTGAGGAGTTGGCAACACTGGAGTGGGCTTTATGGCGCTCCACAATCGTCTGGGCTTGATGTGCTCAGCCGGTAATTCAGGCGGCTGAAATAGATTTTAATAGCGAGAAGGCGTACTTTTCTTTATGAAACACAATTTTCCTCCACCATGAAACAGTTAATTCAGCCTCATTTACTGCCTTTTTAAAAAACTTAGCCAATATGGCTGACTTGCTTAAACAAATGTGGTTTCTAATGACAATTGAGATGTACAAACTATGGCATAAGGGAACAACAAGCGGATAAGTGGCAATCCGTAATTTCGATTAAGACATTAATGAGCGAGCTAGGATGGACGTAGTCAATATAACTATTTGTTTAGCACTTTTGAAAAGTACAGCGACAGAATTCAGAACATGGGCCGTTCTTACAGTGTTCTCCCTGTACACCATGTCAGAACCGTAGGCAATGAAAGCTCTTACAATATATAATATGATATCATTTATCTAAAACAGGTTATAGGCTACATGTGCACCACCAGGTCAGAACAGTAGGTGAAATTAAGAGGGGTAAATAGACCC